ACAGAAAAAAATACCACAGAGAACAGGTGTCTTCAAAAGTCAGGAAGGAAAGAGAAAAATAAACACAAACATTCTGGGGAGGAAGAAGGTTGTGACACGTTGTCCTTACTTCTAGTATCTTCCATTTTGAATCTTCTCCCATCCCTGCTACAGCAAACCTGCTGAGTCTCTGATCCAGGGAAGGGCTTTGAGCTGCTTTTGATAAGCAAGTCTAGCAAGTGGTGCTAAAAGAAATAACAACACAGTAAAGTCACAGCCATTTAGACAAAGTTTTCCCACAAAAAGTCTTGCTGTGGATAAGTGAAACTAGCATTTGCTAGCTTTGCAAAACGAACGGAATAGCTACAAGTCAAACTGGCTTCTGTCCAACTGCAGAAAAAAGTCTGTGTGAGGAACAAGTACTTCAGTTGTTGCTGCAGTATCACACACCCTTTCACTTATGTCCTTTGATGTTTGTGTAACCGTAAGTCTACAGCCAACGAAAAAGGTTTTAATATTTTTTCACTAAAAATGCCAGTGCATGTTAAAAACAAAAACAGACAAGAAAAGAAAACACAAACACAAAGCCAAACCCTTTCCCGCAGTAGTCTAATAAGTTCTGAAACAAACTTCCTTTTAATCTATTTCTTGTTTTGGCATGCTTAAAAAAAAAATAATTCACAAGCTTCTGTTTAAATGTGTTTCCCATCAATATTTACACTAGTGCCATATTTAAAATTACACACAGCAAGTCACTGACACTAATACTTCTGCTTCAAAACCTACACGTGCCTATACACGTATATATGCTGTCCTGTATATATGCTGCCCTTATGGGGGAGTATGTGCATGTTGTTGTATGGGAAGAAGGGTAAAGATTTGTTCTTTTAAGAACAACAACACAGTTCAAATATATTTTCCCTTTTTGTCCCATCTTACAAGTAATGAAACTTTCAAATGGTCCTTTTTGGTTGGTGCAAAACTAACCAGACTTACTTTAAATTATCATCGGAATTTCTACCAGTAATACCAATCAGAATTTAATAAACAAATCTACCAAAGAAAAGCTTAAGCAAGATCACCCAGTTCAGCAGGAATATGGAGGAAAAAAAAACCGTATAGTCTCTAGTACAACTGCCATTTTGATATACTGCCTTGAAATAAATAAACTTAGCCTTTAAATTCAATGCAAGCAAGCCAAGTCATCCTGAGGCACTGAAATCCCCTGGAGGACATCTCTGCCTATTTCCAAGCGTGAGCTTTAATCTTACAGTCACTACTTACTTGTGGTGATATTTAAGCTCATCCAGATGCTTAGATACCTTCACTTATGTCCTTGCAGATTTTTTTTATGTGTCAGTACCTAATCTCATTGTCCTCTGGGAATGAGTACTTACCAGACTGCTATACTGAATACTTAAAGTTCAGTAAAATTAACTACACATGGTTATATGGTACACTGGTAAATTCAAAACAGAGGAGACAAATCTCAACATTTTGATATCCAGATTAAGAAATTATGTAACAAGGAAAGAAAATGTCTTCTATATGATTCCATGATACTTCTTTTCAGCAGTTCTTGTCAGTATACTTCTGAGTAAAGCCTCCTGTAGTAAAGCTCTTTCATTACAAATAAATTTGGTAAAACTTCTCTGCTTGACTAGCAGGCCTTGCCCTGTTAGCCATTCTCTGTCTCCTCAAGGTTAGTTCTGCCCACTTGCTATCTCCATGAAAGTCTCTGACAAGCTGAACAGGTAACAGTCAAATAAGAAATAGCATTTCTGACTTTGATTCAGGCTCTTAAAATAAGTGAGAAGCAAGAACAAAAGCTGTAACAGTTAAAGAACAGGAAAGGAAATAAAGTAAAGCACAAAACCAGGTATGCTGGCACTCAAATTTGCCCTGAATTCTGATGAAATCGTTGGCCAAGGTTACAGATGTTTGTGAATGAAGGAGCAATTTGATTCTTTGAGCCATCATCTCCTCTTTATCCTGCTCCATAGCTTCTGCTCTAAACAGTTTCTCCTGTATTCCCACAATCATCCTGGCTGCTTCTTTAGACATCAGTATTTCAAATGTAATAAAAGATGAATTTGCCAGGGACTTTTGCTTTGAGGGCACAAAACTTAGTTTAGGGAACAAGTCATGACAATGGACGATGTGTCAACACCTTCAACTACAAGCTTTCCAAGCAAACTTCTCTTAGTTAAGATTTTTTTTTCATTATTATCGTTCCTAATCCTGAGTGGATACTTCCCCAAGGGCTCTTCCTTTAGCTTACATTCAGAAACAAAAAATAAGAACAGAAGCCTTGTGCAGAATGTGTAACTGGACATAAGAATGTAAGTGGAAGCAAAACATAAATCTGCCTTTTAAATTAGCAGTGAATAAAAACTTTCTCGTAAACAAACAACTTATATGTACGCATAGATAAGTCTCCTTATTTAAGTTTGCTATTCCCCACATGTAGTTGGGTTTTAGAAAGGGAGAACAGGAAATCAGTGTATGAGATCTCTCAAATTCCATCCAACCTTGCATTTCTCTTTAGGCCTGGATCTTGTATTCGAAACATAACTCTACATCTTTTCTCTTGCTTTACTGTCATTTGTGGCAACACAACTAGCTGACCTAAACCCAGATCTGATGGCCAAGTGTTCTGTGGAACATAGGAAAGGGGAAGAGGGCGAAGCACGCTTCTGAAACTGGAGATGGGTGTCTAGACAGGGCCTCATTTTTTGAGGAGCCCTACTAGAAGCCCTAGTCTGCTTTTGCAGCATTGTACCACAAACACACATCCGCATCACTTAGCAGAATACATTCCCATCCTGCAACCCAATGTACAAGCATGTACTGTTCAGTTGTACTCAAAAAGTGCCCAGTGAGAAAAGGGGAGGTAGAGGGGAGGAGGCAAAGTGAGTTCTTTTATGAAATCATGGTAACATATCACTCTGTTTATAAAACCTGAAGAATCGGTCTAGATCTGCTGTGTGCATTTGTGTTGTACCAAGCACTCCCGCAGAGCTGGCTTCCCAGCTTTGTTTTACAAGCTTCCCTGCAGCACAGAAAGTTGTTCCACGTGCTTTACAGGGAAATGTACTTCTCATAGCAATGCGTGATTTAAGTTTTTGTTCTTGGTTTGTGAAACTGAGCTGTAGAAACTTGTACTTCCCTGCTCACGGCAGGGGAGTTGGAACTAGACGATCTTAAAGGTCCCCCCCAACCTAAGCCATTCTGATTCCTTTGAGTATCTATGCACAAGCAGCATGTGTACTAAAATATGCAATTAACACTATAGAGAAGTAACCTCACAGCATGGGACGATGTACTTTAGGGTAGATGTCTAATGACCAATGTCAGAATCAGGTCTGTACTGTATTTGCTACTCCAAATAGCTGAGAGAAAGGGCCTGCTTTGAGGCAGAAATTATTCCAAGTACCATAAAACAATCTGGGGCAGGTATAGGCCCTCCAAATCACTTTAGCAGTCCCCAAACTTTGACCTAAACGATGGCTCTCAGATTATAACGAATATTCACAGAGAAGCCATCTTATCTGGAAAATCTTGCTGTTGGTGGTTTTGCTGTTGTTGTGTTTTGTTTTTCTCCATGACTTCAGTTTTCTGGTTATGTGATTTTTTTGGGAGACACGGAGATACCAACTTTCTTTCATGTTACGTACACGTTGTATTTTTGGTATTTAAGACTGTCTTTGGATTCCAGAGATATGTTGCCGAGCCAAAATTTACTTCGGAAGGCTATTGTGGTGAGATAAGCCTTGGGCTGAGGTAGGACTGCAAGTAGGATTGGCTCTGGTTCTGCCAGGCCGGACCTAGGGCAGTGCAGATGTGCCAGCCAGCTCCGCAGAGGAACATGCTTGGAAAGCAGGAGGTGGATTATTTCAGCTCCATAAAAGGAGAGTCTGTGAGAAACATGTGTGCCTCTTGCACCAAAAAGAGGGGAGGTCTGAAGCCTGCTAGGGAAGCATCACTTGGTTTTGGAGAAAAAAGTCATGCAAATTTCTCAGAAATAAAAAGGAAATGACTTAAATCGTATGTGACGTGTTCAACTGCACGTCAGCCTTTGAGTAGGCTTTCTATACATCACCATTACAAAGTAAGCCGATTTGTTTAAGCAGCATTTGAGGTGAAGTTGCTGTATGTTCTGAGTCTTACAGCATAAACCAAAATGTCTAATGAGCCGCGGCGCTGTTCCGGTAAAGCGTTTAATCTACATAAGGTATTACGTATGTTTGTTGAGCCCTACGGCTGCTACGACTTTGTTGAGGAATCAAATATATTGTGATCAGGGGCCGCATCTCCATCTCGAGTAGGGGACACGCTTATCACGCAGATAGCAGCTGTTTCACGAGTAAGCCTGACGGACTCGCTGTGTTCCGTCAGCCAGGACAGCGCGAGTCTTCCCTGGCACGATCCCGGGGTGACGGCCGAGCCGCGCTCCCCGAACATCGCCGACACTCCGCTCGGCGGCCGCTGAATAAAGGCCCGGCCCCGGCGCACACTCAAGCCGCAGGCCGCGCGGCCACGGCAGCACGCAGGCCGCCCACAGCCGGGCGGGGGGCTCTCGGCTGGGTACGCGCCCGGGCCCGGCTTCACTCAGCTGCCGCGCAGGGGAGATATGAGGCTGCCGGTCGGGGCTAGTCCGGGCGATCCACCCGTGGCTCCGCGATAGCCGGTATCGCCCGGCGAGCTCTTTTCGGAGCAAGCGGCACAGTGCAGCCCGAAGCCGGGGCTGCGTGAGGCTCGGTTCCCGTATCTGCGCTCCGCGCCGCCGCCCGGCCCCGCTCGTTTGAGTGATGAGCGCAAGGCGCCGCAGGGAGGGGAGGGGGAGCGCTACGCCATTTTCGTAGCCGGTGGAGTAGGGGAGGGGGAAGCGAGGCGCGGGGGAAGAGGAGGAAATGGCTCCGCATTGGGCCGGGCGGGCTGCGGGGACGCGATCCGCACGGTGCGTAGGGGTGAGCCGGGCGAGCGCGCCGGGGGTTGGCGTAGCGGTGGTTGGCGAATAGCGTAGCGGCGGCGGCGGCAGGAGCTGCAGGAGGAGGAGGAGGCGCCGCGGCGGTTTGGTACCGAGCGGAGAGGGAGATGCACACGGCACTCGAGTGAGGTAGCTATAAAACCCCATTTGTTTACATTCCCTCCCCCACAAGCGGCCGGCGCGGCGGTGCGGGTGGCGGCCGGCTTGGGCCGGCTGTAGGGGGGGGGCCCGGGGTTGCGGACGAGGAGCGGGAGCCGGCGGGCACTAGCGGACGTCTCCTTCCCCGCGATGCGGAGCAGCGGGCGGGGGGCACGGCGGCGCGGCCGCCTCGTGACGTGGCGGTGCCGGACCCGCCGGGTGGGCGAGGGGCCGGGGGCGGCGGGGGCCGCCGTGCTCCGAGGCGGCGGAGTGCGAGCCGGTCCCCCGCCCGCTTTCCCCGTCCTCCCAGGGCGGCCACGCGGCAGGTAAAGCCGTCCGCCCGCAGCGGGGGCGCAGAACGCGGCGGTTCCAGGCCGCTGCGGGGGGCGCCGTAGGGCCCGCAGCGGCCGGCCGGGCCCGCCGCCCCGGGAGGCGGTGCGGCTTTTCCTTCTCGGTGTCGCCGCTTCCCTCGCCCTCCTTCCGAGCGTAAACGCGGGCTGGGAGCGCCCCGTCCCCCGGCGCCGTCCGCCCGCGGCCACGTGGAGCCCCGCGGCCGGCTGCGAGGTGCTGCTCTCTACGAGATAGGAGCGCGGGCGGCGAGGCGTGAGAGCGGGCTGCGGCCCGCGGGGCTCGGCGGTGGGCCGTGGTGGGTGGGGGCGGTGAGCAAGGCGGGCGGTTATGTCCTCCTGGGCCTGAAGTTCGCTTTAGCGTGGGTAGAAACTGCAGTCAGGCTGTGTAACTTGTATGCAACCCCAAACAATCAAGGTAAGCCGAGGGGAGTCAGGAGGTGCTGTCGTTGGCTGGAGTATAATGTGCACGGAAATGAGGAGCTTCCTGTGCTCTCACCTGTGCTTAACCTGTGTCGGTGGGTGCTGAGTGTGGAGCCTTTGGAATAAAGCTGTTCCAAGAAGTCTTCCGTTATCTTTCGTCTTTTTTGTTTTGTGTAATGTCTGTAACTGCTCGTTCTTAATCTCGTGTTTCTGATGTGTAAGCACTTGGATTTATGAATTACAACCAATTCTTGAGCTGAAAATAATTGTTCTCTTGCACTAAGTGTACATCTATATGTAACAGTAAGTAATTGTGGATTTTTTTTTTTTTTAATATGTCACATCATAGTACTCGGAGAGCCTGCGGTAGATGAAGGCTGGTACAGCTCTGAGAACTGCACAGAGCAAGGCCTGGCTTTCGGAAATGTGGAAGTGATTGTCCCATTATCAGCAGTAGTTCCTGGGAGTGTGTTCTGGTGTTCTTCTGCATAGTAGTAATGCATACAATGACATTAAAATGAAAAGCACAAAAAATGGGTCCTAAGAGATTCGAAGGAAAATAAAAGAGCACACACTTGGATTTTACTTGAGAATGAACTTTCCGTTGGATGTGTAGAAGAATAAGAATTCCCTGTAGACTGGTGAGATGTGCTGCTCTAATTCCAAGTCAGGTGTTAGGTATACTGACAGTTACTTCATAGGCTGATACTCTCGTGGATATAGAAGAAAACTGCTTGCTAAAGATCTGTGGTTCCTGATACTTTTTGAAAATGAGTGATGTGAATTTTCTTGATTAGGTTTTTGTTTTAAAGTAAATGTTTCAATTGTTGCCTCGTAGTACTTCTTAAACTGTTTCCAACACCTTCATATTTGGAAGGAAAGAAGCATGCAGCCATGCAGTGTATTTAGAGAATAGGGCCTATGTACAGACCATGAATAAGTTGTGTATGTTCACGTGCGTGTAAGTGAAATAAGTGGCAATTCCTTGTGGACATTGCACTAGTGTCTAATAAAGGTGCAGGTTGAAGAGATGAATGCGGTTTCCTGTCTGGAATAGGCAATGAGAAAGGAGATTCTGCCTGCATAACTTTCTCCACAACAGGGAAGTTGTTTAAATGAATGTGCCTTGGTTTCATGTAGAATTTTTGTGCTTTTCAGTCTGTCTTAAGAAACAGATGCATCCCTCGGACAGTGTATCCATACGTTAATGTAAAATGAACTGCAATAAGTAGTGCAAATATATTCACAAGCTAAGCTATTGCATGTTTGTTTCTCCCACTACGAAGAAAAAAAATTACAGTGAATCATGGTAACTGGGGAGTGTTCTGGAACCTCTGCTTCCCATTAAAAAAAGCACAAATCCCTGCAGTGATGATCTTTGTCTCCTCCAGTGGCTGGTCATGATCTGATTTGAAACTTAAGCGTTACGTGATGTCACAATATGCATCTTCTAAAGTGACACTGAGGAGAGGCAGCAGGATATTGATTGCATATGGTACTTGGGTTTTACACATTAATAAATCATTTCCTTTGAATATTCGATAGGAAACCGTGGTAAGATACGAGCTTAGTGTAGTTTGATTTGGGCAAAATGAAATTTGTGTTCGCACATGGGAAAGTTAGTACTTTACAACCTGGCATAGATTTCTTTTGTGGTCTTCACTAAGTACATCAAGCAACTGTTATTAAGTTATTTATATTCATAAGAGATCATCTGCGAAACAGTAGTTGGTCCAAGTAGGAAGGAACTTTGAGGTGGTGCACAGATCACATGATATTAAGCTTGGGTGTATGTACAGACCTAAAGGAAGCGTGCTTGGGCCTGTTTATTTTTGCTATTCTGATTTAATGGCGTTTGATCATGATTTTTGTCTTCTGTAGCGAGTTTGGTCTCATCTTCGCCACACTTTTTACAGAAATAGAAGTTAACTTGAATATATGATGGGCATTTGATAACTTTTCTAAAGCCATATTATCTTTTTTCATCAAGTGGAATTACCAAATTAGAATTACACAAGCCGCTTAAAATCTGAGCTCAATAGAAGTTTTTCCTGTAAGCTAAGGTTTGGTCCTTAAACGTGGTGAAAGGTCCTGGTAACTTAACAGACTGCAGTGTGGAATAAGGGCATGAGCAACAAGATGATATTGGAAAAGAAATCTTACTGCCGCTTTCTTCCCAGTTTGTCAATCAGCTGTCAGAACGCTGGCTGTTATGTTTCAGCACATTTCAGGATTGTCAAATGAATGTCAAATTCTGACTTGCTTTTTAGCACACCTAGAAATGTCATCAGAAGTTTCAAAGAAGAAAAGCTAGATTATGGTTCTATTGTCTTTGTGAAAGTATGCTTTTCATAGAGTTGAGATTTAGGTGCAGAGGGAGTTCTGACTATACTAAGAATTGAAGAATTCATGCCTTTGGGGAAGCAATTTCTGTTCTAATTTAAAGAAGAACAGTATAATTTCCTCTTGTTCTGTGAGAGTCCAACTTAAAGAGCTAATATTTGTAATATAATTTGATTATTTGTGAAGTATTTCTCTTCAGACTGCTGAAGTTATCTTAATTGAGAACCAGAGATTTTATCTTGCTGATTAGGGCTTGGTGATGTGGATAGATTTGAGATTGTTTTTAGTTCATTCTTAAATTGCAACTGAGATATTTAAGTGTGTGTAATAACATGTGATAATGTGTATAAATTAGGTGAAGCTAATAAAGAAGAACAAATTTTAAGCTTCCAAAACTGATCAAAATATTGAAAAGTGTTCTGTTAGCATTGTAATCTCCTAGACAGAAGGGTGCACTCATCTTTCATCCACCTGTTCAGAATGTTCCATGTGATGCTGCATCATTACCGTCTCTCCGAGGGTTGTTTTGTTTGTTTTTTTGATGTAACATAAATGTAAGGAGTAAAAAAGAAAGGAAAAAATCATGTTTTAAGTCACTTAGGTTTTTTGTTACCTCTTATGCCTGTCTAGTCCCTGTACAGATGTTAATGTCCCCAAGCAGGAAGCCAGTGTGAATGATAGCAGATCATGGTTCCTAATGCTTGTCTCAAAAGCATAGAAATAAGGGATGTTGAAGTTAGATGTGGGACGTTGTGCCCATGCTGGGGAACGTGCTTTATTGGACTAGAAATGTTTTCATCTTTTGGGTGTTGCATTGTGGTGCCTCATCTGTGACTTTCCACTTTCTGACTTGCCTCTTATTGCAGAGAAGGAATGACTCAGCTGCCTTTTCTGTCTCGGCTGCTGCTGACCTATGAGCTTCATTCTAACCTTACTACCACATTTTCTATAGCTTGCTGATTCCAAAAACAGTATGCTGAGAGTGAAGATAGTCTGCTCATTATACTAATGGAAAATTAGACTGCTGTAGAAACTGATACGTCATTTTTACTGGGTAGTCTGTTGGAGAACCTGCGTGTAAGAAACAGTGAGATTTCTTTTCTAATATCATATTGTTGCTCATGCCCTTATTCCACACTGCAGTCTGTTAAGTTACCAGGACCTTTCACCACGTTTAAGGACCAAACCTTAGCTTACAGGAAAAACTTCTATTGAGCTCAGATTTTAATAAAATCACCAAGGTTAGAAGAGATCTCCATGATCATCCAGTTCAGCTGTCCACCTACCACCAATATGTCTCACTAAATCATGTTCCCTTAGTCTACATGTTTCTTGAACATCTTCGGGGACGGTGACTCCACCACTTCCCAAGACAGCCCATTCCAGTGCCTGGCAGTTCATTCGGAGAAGACATTTTTCCTAACATGCAGCCTGAATCTCCCCTGGCACGACTGGAGGCCATTTCCTTTAGACGTATCAATAATCACACGAGAGGAGAGGCTGACTCCCTCCTCAGCCCAACCTCCTTTCAGGCAGTTGTAGAGAGCTATAAGGTCGCCTTGAGTTTCCTCTTCTCCATACTGAGCAATCCCGGTTCTCAAGTAGCAGGTTTAAAGTGTGTACAATTTGGGGACATTAACTAGAAATAAGTGAGAAGAGCATTAAGTTCTCAAGAGGTAGGAAGTACAGAAAGTTGAAGTCGTCATGCATTTGTTTCAGTGCTTGAGTGACAAGATGTAATTTAGTAGTCATTGGTATTAGGTAGCTAAATCAATGTTGAATTGAGATGATAATAATGGAAGTAATTGAATAACAGTGTTCATGTCTGAAAGTCATACATCAAATGAAGTTCTGGAAGAGTATTCACATGGTTAGACT